GTACAAAGCAGAACTATCTATTCCTCATCTTTCTTCCTGAAATGCAGGAGCACTTTATACATGACTTCAGTAGAGTATAATCCATTCCTACAAAGATGCTGCAAGGAAGGTAACAGAAAGCCTCATGAGGACAAAATTCCATTCAGGAACAGGACAAAAATGTGATAGATCTGGAATGAATTTAGGAAGTACTTTTCTACAGTAAGAAGTTATGAATGGATTAAAGAAAGATTAGAAGAAAAACCCATGCCAAAGAGGCACACAAGAAGAATGGTGCCCATTGTAAGCAAAGATGTTGATGGAGCAGGTCAAGGCTGACAACATAGTCTAATGACTAGATTATACTGAGTAGTGTGTCCAGCCATGGACTTGGACAATACGGTGCCTACTAACACTAGGCCTTATCACAATAAGAGAAGGTCCTTGCTTTGAAGACCCTTTGCTGATAATGGTGGAAATTGGCTTGGAACAGACAGTACCTGCTAGTGAAAAGTACGTGGCAGGCAAACAAACTAAGGATTCTTTAAAATGATGTTTTGCAAAGTGAAAAACAGGAATGCTTTGAAAGGGACCGATTTATTCAGGCAAATTAAGAGGCAGGGAACACTGGTGGCATAAATATTCATCATTCTTCAAAATTTCTTTTTTTTTCATTTATCTTTTTTTTGCCAACAATAACAGAGCTTTACCAAAAAAATTAAAATATTGTTGTGATAAGAGAAAGAACAGACTTGTGTAAATATTTCAAATTTTCAGATTAAATTGGACCTGATAAATTTAAATCTTAAGGGGGCTGCCAATATGTATGCTGCTGTAATACTTTTATTCTCAGAACTACACCATTAGGTGGCAAAAATAGGCATTTCACATTAACAGTTGCACGTACAACTGAAACACATCATAGAGAAAAAGGAAATGGAAGCGTGTTTCTCTTCTGATCAGCTCTGTCTGTAACTCCATGGTCTCCTGGAGTAGTGTCTATAATTCAACCACGATGGGCTCTGGGAAATTTATTAAAGGAAGTCTAGCAGAAAGAAACATAATCCAGATAATTTTAAATATCTTTATTTTAAAAATTGTCTCAGGAAAAGAGTTTCAACCTTTTAATTTGCTCACAAAGGCTTAACAATAGGGGCAGGACTCTCTTGCTTTCTTGATATCATCATAGAAGCTGGGGACCAGCTAGCTCTCATTACTCCTGAAGGAATGTGGTGTGATTAAACCTCTATACAGAAAGAAATGGAATGTAATTCTTACATGTTGATTTGCTTTGAACACATACCACATGCTGAGGAATGAGTTTCCAGTGTACTCTTCCATTTTAGAGGACCTCACCTCCGAAAAATTAACTACGACTATCCTCTTCTGAAAATGAACGCTATTTGGTTAAAGACATTTGTTCGCATTTCCCAGTGTCCAAAACCACTAAATCCTTTGAGAAACACCTGTGAATGCAAAGCCTTCTTTTTCTTCCTCTTGGGAAATTCCAGAAATTCAAGAAGTCCTTTTTTCTGCAGCCATAGAACAAAAGAAGTTTTTGTATTTCTAAATAGTTCTTCAAAAGTTTCACTTAAATGATACCAACTATTAAATTATTTTATATTTATGGACTCCTCTACAGTCCAATTGGTATCCTAAGGATGCCTGAGCTTACCCCTTTTATACACATTTCCTCCAACCCTTGAGACTGTGACTCAGTTGCTGATTTCTGGCTGAAGGAGGCTGGACAGGAGTCCCTCTGGAGTCCAGCAGCAAGGCTGTCATCCAAGGAGTGAGCTGCAGAGTGATGCAAGACACTCCCTTCCCTCAGGATCTGAGCAGCTACCTCATCTTGAAAGGATTTTTTGCTCAATGATATCAGCCTAGAGTGAAACATGGATCACTTGTCAGCAGTTAATGATGATATTTGCTTGCTTACCTCACAAGATCAGCGCTATAAAGTGTGAAACCTCACCCTTGAAATAGAACTGCATAAAGACAAAACTTAGTGTAAACTGTTGGCTTCTAAAGCTTAAAGCAGGAACAGTGGGATATTGGTTCCATCAATCCGAGAATATTTTCAGAACTTGGGGGATAACACTGGCACAAGAAACAGTGGATCATAACATTCATGTGGAATTCTTTTGTTGGAAAAACAGCACTTTCAATCATCAGTACTGTCAGTGTCTTTGGTCTCCTACATTCCCTGCAGTTTTTGGCACTTTGCAAGGCCTCCTGACTTCTGCTCACTGCAGATCTTGTACAGATCCCTCAGTGAGCTGCTCCTCTTAAGTGCTGCTTGGCAACTCTCCTCAGTGAAAGGGAGCAACAAATAAAAATCCTGATTTCCCTACAGAATTGGGAGATGCAACAGGACAGAAACATCTGTAGGACATCCAAGGTGCAGCTATTGCAATGCTCGTACAAAGGCAGAAGGGAAGAAGCAAGCAGTTTGCATCTGGTGCATTTGCCTGAGCACAACCTGATCTGGGTCATTTCTACAGACATTAGTCAGGAGACAACATAGTCCTGACCTAAATGGGACTTCGCACGCCTGCAGATGCCAATGAGACCTAAAGCCCCTCTTCTCTCTCCCTGTTAAATATGTAATTACTGTATAGGACTTCTTTATGTGTCACTGATGCATTTTGGATGTATTGGTAAAAAAGCTCAAGTCACGTAGGTGTATTTAAAAATAAATAAATACTATCAAATATTGTACATACTTAAAAAAATGCACAACAGTAGCAGCAATCTTGCAGCCATTTTATAGAGTGATTCAAATGCACAGTCAATTTTAACATTAATACTTAATTTTATATTATACTTAATGCTAATTTTAACTCTAACACTTGAAATATATCACAGTATTTTCACTGAAAGGTGAGCAGCCTGTCCAAAAACTCTTAGAAAAATTTATAGTTGAGCAAGTTCCTTTCTGAAAAGCAGCATGAAACTAATTATACTTCCTGACCTTTAAAAAACGCTTTTAATGAAAGCATTAAAATGTCCATATACTGAGGAATGAAATGCTATATTTAATCCCAATAGTTGTTTGTTGTTTTTTTTTTAATATTGGCATTGCAGTTACTGTTTGACACACTACTTATCCATTAGAAAAAGATCATGTAGCAAAAGTACTATGTTTAACATAACTTTAAATACTTTTGTCAAATTATATCAGAATTATTGAATGCTGGGTCCAGAGTACACTGCAAGGCCCCAGAAACAAATAATTGTCACATGATACACAAAATCTAAAGTAACCTAGAAATATGTTAAGTGTGTGAAAAGTGGCTTTATATTTTTGTTTTTCTATTCCATTCATCAGTGGCCAGGTAATGTTACAATGTTTGTAAATCATCAGTTTGCTTTATACAGTTGGTTTTAGAAAAGGATAATGACCTGGCTATGGGAATTTGCAACAGATTGAAACTTTAATAGTGTGGCCTTCAAGTATGAAGGCTGATTTTTCTTCTTTATTTTTTTAATGCAGGAATCAGGATACCTGGAATGTGTTTGAGCTGTGTGTGGATTTACTTAACTATTATAATGTAACTTTTCAGCTTAGTGCAGCACATATGCAGCAGATATACTGTGTTTGTAGTAAATGAAGTTTAGTCGTGACTTGTTTCAAATTCCCATTGCTTGAAAGAGTGGGTAAGCAACGAATCAGTGTTTTCTCTTGTGCCCTGGCTGTGCCATGAAGAAAGGTTCATTTCCAATGTCAGCTTTGTGTTAAACAGGCAATTGCACAGGCAACAGACACTGTCCTGTGCCAGGAAGGGATGCCAGGTCCTGATCCCAGGACTCCTCTGCTCCCAGGTGAAGTGACATTGGAACAGCAGTGCCACTACAGCAGGGAGCACTGGAAACGTCCACCTGGAAGCACATCTTGGGAGGAAGGAGGTGTGGGCCCACATATACCCACTGCGGGGAGGGGGGTCTCATTTTAAGGGAGGAAAGCTTTGAGAACCACATCCCATTTCCAAGGCCTTCAGTGGGGAAAAAAATCAGTTCTTCACCCCAGATTTGATTTAATGAGGCTTAAGCCCTAAGCTCTACCAGGCTGGGACTGCTCTAAACATGCTTACAGCTCAGTTCTGTGTGTGACTTCAGAAAGTTAACCTCCTGGGCTCTGTAGAACCTAAATTACAAACTCTGTGAAGTACAGGCCATCTTTTCACCCTGTGTTTGGATCCTGATCCATAGGTGGAATCCCTATCTATGACTACCCATAGATAATACCTCACAGGTTGGCTCAACAGGAAGAAGCCAGCGCAATGACATGACTGAATGACTTCTGTATGACTTCTTGCTAATACTGAGTATTAGCAAGGTTGTTAATACAAATAGATGCACAGTTTATCAGCTCAGTCTTCTAAGGTAAATTTTACTGTGGCATCCTCCATAGCTTTTCTGGGAGATCTTCCCACTCTCCAGTTCCCCTCATTGCAAGCGCTGCAATGACGGGAACACTCTGAGAGTCACCCTTCCTCCAGGACGGGCATTAGATCAGACCACACATTTTAGTTTATTTTTATTATTTTGAGAATGGGACTTCACAGAACCGGCCTGCTGATCTCTACAAAGCGCAGATAAGCAGTGAATTGGTCCAAAAGTTTAACAGTTTCCAGAGCCGGTCTGTCACACTCTGTCCATGGAAATACCACCCCAAGTGGGAAACACTCCCAGCGTGGCTACCCACATTTCAGCCTGGCTTTGAGTCCCCACTCGTATGGCCATGTCCCATTTGTGCCTTTGATACTCCTGTCCCAACTTCCCCACAGCGTCCCCACCATCTTCCACTTCCCTCTCCCTCACCCGCCACGCCAGTGGCCCCCCTCGCTCCCGAGCCCCCTCAGCTCTCCTGAGGAGACCCAGGCCTCGATGCAGCTCCCCTTCAGCAGACCCCGAAGCGGGGCGGGGCGGGAAGCAGCGGCAGGCTCTCCCTGCCTGGCGGGGCGGCCTCCCCCGGGGGGCAGGCCGGGCCGGGCCGTCTGTCTGCCCGCCCGCCGTGCGGCTACGTCCCCGGCTTTGTTGTGCTCGCCCGCCCGGGCTCACGGGCGAGGGGGCGGGGAAGCGGAGGGAAGGGAAGCGGGGAAGGCGGCCGCGTCTCCTCCTCCGCCTCCTCGGTCCCGCTCATGGCGACGCTGGGCACATCCGGGCTTCTCCTCCTCCTCCTCCGGCGGCCGCCGCTGCCCTGAGCGCCCAGCGCGACTCCATTAGCGCCTCCCCTCCCCCCGTCTCCCTTCCCGGACCCAGAGGCAGGGGGAGCCCCGGGCAAGGCAGCGCCGAGCCCGTGGAGCGGCCGGGGACATGTCCAACCAAGGGGCCCGGCGGAACGGGCCCGTCAAGCTGCGACTGACAGGTGAGGCTGAGCGGGGCAGGCTCTGCTGGGGCCTGGCGGGGCTGCTGGGGTGCCGGTCGGGCAGGGGGAAGGGAAGGACGGGAGGGAGGAAGCGAAGAGCAGCGGGGTTCGGGGGGCGCAGAGACCGACCTCCGTGGGGGAGAGGGGTGAGAAGAGCCCAACGGGAGGGGAGGAAGCGGGCCCCCTCCATGTGCCTTTGAGTTTGAACCTGGTGCCGGAGGAATCCCTCAGGCCTCGGGAGGGAAGGAGACGGCGAGCTCTTCCCTCGCCTCCCTGCCCCACTGCCGGCTCCGCGCCTCCGGAACAACGCGGCTTTGCGGACTCGGCCCGGGCTGGGCCGGGCCCCCTCAGTCCCGGGGGCGCCGGGCGAGGGGCAGCCGGAGCGGCCGGTGCCACCCTCGGGCACCGGCTCCTCTTCCTCCGCACCCCGACTCGTATTTGTCCCTTCGTCTCCTCAGCGTGAACTCGAAAGAAACTGTCACACTCTTTGTTTTGATCTCTTTGTTTGTTGTTGTGTTTTTGTTTTGTTTTTTTTTTAACCCAACTTCCTTAGTGAAGGTTGTGCCCAGTTCGTCTGGTAAAGTGCTATATGCTGCCCTCTTTCAGAAGTCCACTTGACCTCTAATATTTGAAAATATCATAAAAACTGTTCACCAGCATGCTGGGAAAGCAAATAAGTTGTTTTAAAATACTTAAGAGTATGTTCTTTTCTGCATAAAAACCCAGGTAAATAGGTTTAGAGAAAATATCTTCGAAGTTCTGCTAGAGCTTTCTTGAAAAAATATACAGGAGGCTTTAAAGAAAAGAGCTAGTTCAGTGTATCTGTCCCTCAGCAGGTAAACGGTATTTTGTTTTCTGAAGTGTCAGTGCACGAAGGTGAGCAAATAGAAAATAATAGGTAACACTGTAAACACTCTTCTCTGCATGTAGTGTATTTAACCAGCTTGCAAGACAAATGTCTTTAAAAATAATAAGAGTCTTAAAAATAAAATGAAAATAGTAATTGAAAAATACTAAGAGTATATTTACTTTAGGTGCATGTGAACTATTTCCAGTTTAATGCCTTATAAAGAGAGGTGCTTTCATACTTATTTTTCAAAGTATATTATTTTTCTAGGGAAAGTAAAATGTATCTGCTTATGTTTTACTTTGGAAATACTTGGACTAAATTTGTAATTTCGTTTTCATGGAGATTTGTGAGTGTCTATATATTACACTTAGAAATAAAACTCTTAAAATAAGCATAGCTGGGACTGATGCATGGAACAGTGCTGCCTTGTTTTTACAGAGTGTTTTGTAGCTTTCTCTTCAGGTTATTGCTTTATTGATGCAGTGCTTTAATACTTTTTTTCCTGAGCAGTGAGTGCTCAGACTTGCTTATCTTTGAAACATTAAAATGGTCTGCAGCCATGTGTAAAAGCATGGAAAGTACCATTGAGGGAGTTGTCTCACCTTTGGATTTTGTGTTCTATTTTGTTTCATAATTATTTTTATTAAGGTTTAAGCATATAATGAAATCGTGTCTGTGACAATGTATGTTATGGGGAGTGTGAGCAAGAAATAGCCAGTAGTTTTGCATACTGAGTTTTAGTTGTGTGGTCAGTTCCCAAAAGAAGCAAGTACAGTCTTGAGGAACATTTCTCAGATTTTTTTCATCTTATATTTTAGGAAGGGAATATGCAGAGCACAGGACGCTGCAAAATTGTCTTTCTAGGGACTATTGTAGAGTTTGCAGCTCTTGCAGTTGCTGACTACCAGTTCTGTTACTTGGAAGTTTATATGAATCATTGGCCTATTTCTCGAGTTAAAAATGCTTGAGATACTTTATGCTTTTGCTACTTTGAGTTGTTTCACATGAGGTCATTTGTTGTAACGAAGCTTTACATCTTTAAGAAAAAACATGGAATTTTATTAATTCAGCTGACATGTTGTCAGTTGTTGCCTAGGAATAGTTTTAAGTGTTCTGTGTGGTTTTGATTACCCTTTTTGATTGGAAAAACAGTTTGAGAGCTATTGAATTCTAAAACTGTTTGGAATTAAAAGAATCTGTATATCCAGTGTTTTTAGAAGTTTATTCTCAAACTGTCAAATGCTATTTAGTCTTAATTTTTTTGGCTGTATGAAACTAGCAGTCTTCTGTTTTGGCTTGAATATTTATAGGATTAATTCTGCGATCATTGTATAATGGTTATCTTTTATGTTCATTATCTCTAAATTAGATGGTATAGATTAAAAAATCGATTTCAAGAACTGGATTCAATTAGCAGTTTTTCAGGACATAAACATTAAAGGTTTAGATGGAAAACATTGTTTTGACTGACTGGATAAATGACAGGGTAATGTTTGATGTGAGTCCAAGAACTGATCTGGAGCTAGTGCCCAACTTTTCAGTCTATCTTGAGGAGCCAAATAAAATATTTAACCTAGGCCTTATTTTGCAGAAAAGGTTGATTCTTTGTTGGGACCTTAAGAAAGTTCTGAGAAATGTTTGGCATACCTTTACACTAAGTGTTTAACAGTTTATTTAGGTCTGGGTTCCATAACAGAGAAAAACCACAGCGGTGGCATACTTCTAGTAAGTTTTTGTTTAGTTTATGGTGCATCTGCATTATACATTTCTTATAAAAGGTTATTCTTTTTCTCCCAGGTTTAGCTGTCTGTTGTAAATATCACTTGAATGCGTAGTGATACGTATGTTGATGCATTTTGCACAGCCTTGAGCTAGAAAATTGCTGGGTGATTGTTAAAATCCAAAGGTTATGCCTCCTGATGATACTTCACTTCTAGTATGAGATGTAAATGCCTGTTTCTGATTAAAATATAGGTTATGTAATTTAAGTTACCTACTAGAATATCACTGGTCTTCTCCAAAATTTATTTTAGCAGCTTGTAATAGCATTATCAAACAAAGCTATAATATAAAGAAAGTTCCTTCAACTCTGACGTTTTAACCACCATTTTATCTAGTCTTGTCCTGAGTATATCTGAATTCTGCAAGAGCTGCAAGTGCAGTCGTCCCCTTCAGTTTTTACTGTGATTTTTCTGTGTTGTGTTGAATTTGTGTATTTTTAAATATATTGTACTCTCAGGCAGAATGTACTATTCTTTCTTCTACCCCCCATGTTGAATTGCATTGTTCTTCAAAAAAAATTGAGAAATGACCATAGCTTTCAGTTGCTCAGTAAATATTTTATGTCCTAAACTGTGCATTATCTAATATTAAAATAGTTACATTTGACTGCTTTCACTATGATGTCAGTTATCTGAATGAAGTCCACAGGACTGTTTTTATCAAGTAGAAAGATATATTTTAAAATCAGTTTAATTCTGAAAAACTACATGGATAATAGAATATACGGAGTTAAATAAAGGTTAATGCATGAATTTATTTAATGTGTTATAGCTAGTGTTTGTGTCAGAATAGTTAACAAGTAAAGATACTTTGATAGCCATAAAGCACAGTTACACTTCACTGTAATAGGTGGTAAAAAATATCCCACGGATAAAACTGGAACAAGCTGGAAAAGTTTTGTTGGTAAAGAATCAGAGGTAGGCCTGAAGAGCTGTTTTCTTCCTCCTTACTATAAGCTTTTGGGTTTCCTGGCAGGGTTTGCTAATTAGGGAGATAAAAGCACTAGATCTTCTGTTGTAGAAAGTGGACAGCATCTTGTCTTCTGTCCTACTCTCTCTTGTTGATTTTACTGTCTATTCAATCCTTAAAGTACAAAGGTGGTTCTGTACTCTAAGGTTATAGTGTTGAAGGAAGAAAGTGCTACTTTTTTTTAAATCAGTTTGTAGAAACATCGTGATGCCAAAATATTTCTCAAGAAAGAGGTGTATTATTTTTAAAAAGCCAGAATATTCTTGAGTTTTGCAAAATAATGTGGAATTGCCAAACCTGATTTTTTTCCAGTGGATAAATCTAACAGTTAAATTAATACAATTGGAAACAGTGGTTAGCCTGAATTCCTATTAGTGCTGTCGGAAGCAGGACTGAAGTTTATGGGTAGCAATTACTGATTGATTGATTGATAAAGTAACTACCTATATTTTTAAGTAGCAAGGCTATGGTTTCATAGTTGACTTAAATGTTAGTGCAATTTTAGGTCAGTTTAAAATCTGAGTGCTGTTCTTTTTTACTCTTTGTAGTCCCTGGCTTTTCTGGGCCCTCTCTTGTGTTGACTCCACTGACTGTAGCTGTGTGATGAGCTGAAAGTTAATCCTATAAAAAAAAAAAAAAAAATCATTTTTTTGCACAGGGAAGGGGATGGATACACACAAGAAGCTGAAAAGAGGGCAGAACTGCCTCTTTTACAGCAGTCTGTAGTTAGATAGGCTTTGGTCAACAGTAAAACAATGGGTTTCCTTCTTGTAAGATATATTTGACTTAATGATGCATGACTTACTAAAAACTAGTATTTAAGAAATCAGAATCAATAAATTATATAGTAGGTAGATTAAACTGGTGCTGTCATAACAAAGTCAATAGGCATGTGTCTAATCAAACTATAGGGATTGGTGGGTGCTTGGCCCTCAATATTTCTATCAAAATATGAAGTGTGTGTATATACGTACTTTTTCTATATACAGTATATAGTTATAGATATTCATGTGTGTACAAATCAGTTGTGGATCACAGACATCAAAGAATTGTAACAAACAGCTGTATGGAACAGTCTCAACTGCTTGTTTCAATGGGGTCAGCTTATACGACAAAGTTTTATTCATCTGGGTATAAAAATGGGTATCTGTGTTCAAGGATACGTAACGGAGTATTGTGGCAAGGAAAACAAAGATCAGAAATGGTTTGCTGGAGGAAATTATAGAAGGAAAACAGTTCTATAGGAGCTCCAATGAAAAGAGCAAAAGGCCCAATGCTCATCTTTGGTTGTAGAATCAGGAAAGCATTGAGTAGAAGCTAATAGAGGATTTATGTGTGGGGGGAACATATGGGACATGTGTAGGAGACATATGGGAAATCTGCAGACAGTCCTAATTAT